GAAAAAACGTTTTTTTTTTATTTTTTTACATAGGCATGATCTTTTATGTTTATTTGACTTTAGTTATTATTAATTTTTTCATTACAAATTATCAATTTTTAATATTTTAGTACTAACGTTAGGGTAAAATTTATATGCACGTATTGCTGGTTGCATACGCAAAGATATAGGGGTGGAATTCTCTAATAAAAGGAATGTTACAAATAAGTACACTGTTGACTTTTATTTTAAGTGTTATTGGAACTTAAAATAATAAAAGTATTATTTTTCTTTTTCTTTATAACTATAATCATTTTCAATAAAAATATTGTTTAATTTATCATTTAAACTTTAAAGCAAAGGGCATTGTTCTTCTTATGCATTATTATTATTACTTATTAATTTATAGAAAATAAATCAATGAATTATTTATTATTTAATTTACTGATTTTTTTTTCTGTGTTAGTACCTACTTATTCTCAAGTCTTTATTTTCCTATAATTTTTTAACTAATGCATTTTTTCTCCTTTTTGAGAATTATGATATTAAAAAATATTACAACAAATCTTCACGCAGAAATAATGAGTGTTTATTTTATGAATTTGGTGTCAAAGTTAGCTATGAAAGTTTAATTGTAAACGAACCATCAAACTGAAAGTCATTTATTTGACATTTAACACTTCACTGGTTATATTAAAAATTGTGGTTCGTTCACAACAAACTCATAGTTACCACCAACTAAGACGCCAAATTTAAAAACATCAGTTATTTAGTTGTCTTTTTACCAACTAACGAAAGGTTTTTTTTTTAATGTACAGGGTGTCCCACCTAAAACTTTCGGATTTAATATCTCTAATTTTCGTCAACGAATTTTAACAAAATTTAAAATGTACAGTATTTAGTAGGATATGATTTTAACATGTCTTTTAATAATGCTAAATTACTTAAAATTTATATCAAATTGTTAATCGCTAATAAACAATGCCAAAGCAAAAATATATCTTAGAAATTAACCTCTTTATCTCCCCCACCCCTTTATTCGCGCTTGGAAAGAAGTCCCACTTACAAAAAAAAAGAATACAATTGTGTTAAAACTAGCTGAAAACGCAAAAACATGAGCAGCCATGAGACATCCTGTATAAAATAAAATCTTGAAAAGAGATTTTTACTACAATAATACCGTGCGATAAAAAAAAATAAATTAGAGTAGGCGTTGATTAAATTATACAGTTGGCAACACATTGGCTGGGAATATGGGCTGGAAATTTTCCACTCAAACAGAAAGTGAAAATTACCATTCACCGTTTTCGTCTTGTACAACAATAAAAATTTTCTGTTCAAAAGTGAACATTATTTCATTCAAAAGGAATAAAACGCAAACTTGTCAAAGTTTCCGCTGACATTTGATGTCAAAAATCAAGATCGCCGCCATCTGAAGGACATTAATCACCAAAATAAATCTAATTTTTTATTTTTTTTGGATCGCACGGTTGAACGTATAACTACTGTTTATTATTATTATTACTAAGTCAAGAAAATGATGTTAAACGAAATTTAACAAAAGTAGTACAAATGACTCTAGGGAGCAGAAGTCTTCACAACACTTTTATAACATATCAGAAAATTAAAGAAATTGCTCAATTTATTTAAGAACGACATAAGTTAAAAATCACAGTTTGTAAAAACAAAGAGTTAAAGATTTTATATTAATTGTCTTGGTGGTGATTATTATTATTTAGTGCAACCATATAAAATACTAAATACTTATAGTGTTTTTGAAATAAATAAGTGTTATAATTAACTGTAAAAGACGTTATTTTTAAAAGATTTGGTATCTAATAATACTTTAAAAATAAGAATTTTTATCTTTATTATATGGTGAAATCTTTGATTAATTTGCAAATATTTAGAATTAAAAAAGTTTACATTAAACAGAATTTTTTTTATTGAACGTGCCTCTTTTCCACGTCTTTTAAGAAAATACAAAAACAAATTGCAATTTCTGTATTTTGATTGGCTTCCGCATCTCTGTCGATGAGAAGGAAATTCAAAGACAAGAAGGGTTTGACAGTTTCGATATAATTTTCCTTGGATATATTTATAGTGCGAACATAAGACCCCTTAGATATTTACTAAAGTAATTTCCTATAACAAATATATGCGACAGGGCAACAGTAAACAGTGCTTTTACATGTCCGGTCAGTTACAAGCCGCCCTGTACGGGAAACAATGAATCAACATGTTCTTTTGCTTAAGACATGACTACGATATGGACACAAATCATTCTGCCAACGTAATTTATTTCAAAGCCCCAATACTCTGCTCTGCTCCTAAAAATGGAAATAGAACTGTGTGATGTATTACCGAGGTATGAAATTTAAATGAACAATCTACTACATATTTATCTTGTAACTAAAATAATATTTCGAAGCTTTTTGCCTCTTAATTAAAAACACTCTCTCGGCCACGCGGCTAATTAGGAGCCGCTTTTGTTCTTTTTATAATCTCGCGTTTTTAATAGTTACATTTTGGTTCAATTGGCAGGGTGCGGACACTTCATTCTAATGAGAATTTCTAAAGAATTCGAGTTGGAAACGCGTGCCGGAAAGCTGGGGATGAGGGATTATACTATAAACGAGTTTTTAATGTTTGAAGATAACAGATTCGGATTTTTACTGTTTGCAAGGGAACCAAGAACTAATTAACATTTTTTATTATCGAAAGCACACTTTAATTAGCTCAAATAATCGATTAATTATTTAGCAAAGTTAAAAAAATATCAGAGCAATTTTAAGTTTTCTAGTGTCCAGTGATTCCAAAATCAAGTTGGCAACATTGATGGATTCAGACGCAAAAAATTACACTATGATTTCATATCTTCTTCCACTACTTTGTTGAGTGTTGCCAACTCAGTTTCAAAAAAACTGAACACCCTGACCTTAAATTTAATTAAAAGCCTGGTATTTTCTTCTTATAGTTATTTATTCGATGAGTTTGAGTGTAAATCGGACGCTTTATTTCACGAGAGGATTATTAAACCACAAGTGGTTTATTATCCACGAGGGGGAATAAATGAACCGATTTATATGAAAGCGAGTTAAATACAACATTTTATTCTTCGAATTAGACTCAACAAGGCTTAAAATTGATTTAAATCTGTCAAAAATAATCTGACGTTTCGTATTGAGAAATACCAAACAGTTGTCAAAACTTCCTTACTCGGGAAATTTTGACAGTGTTGAAAAACAAAAAAAAATAATAAAATAACTCTTTTCCATTCTGTGAGAAATTCATTTTTGGATGCAACAATTCTGGTTCAATAATTCCTAAACTTTTAACATGTCTGGTAAGAGAGACTGGTGAGTAGACAAAATATCGTCCAAATTTTTAAAATCTTTCTCTGAGACGCAACAAGAGAGAAAATAGCCTTAAATCCAGAATTGGTGTTGTTAATCTTCCGGTTTGCCAGTCGAGGATTGCGACTTTCAAGGACTGCTTGAATTCAATTCACTTAAACTTAATTAAAATTAACTAAATAATTACCAATGCTTACTTCAAACACCTACACTCAGAAAATTAGAAAATGTTGTGTCCATAAAACAATCCTCATTATTTGAGTCCTCTTACCTAATCGCAATAATATAAATGATTTTTCATTCATCCTCAACATTTCTTTTAAGTAAATTTTCTCAACATAATAATAGTTATTATAATTAAACGTGTGTAAAGTGTGTTATACGGTATGTTCCCGGGTTAAATTTATAAGGTAAAAAAAATATCTTTGATTTTACGCCAAAGCTTTAAAGAAAGACATTTTTTGCTTCACCTGAAACAAGCAAATCTGTAATTAAAACGTCATTATTCTGTCTCAGTGGAAAGAAAAGTAAATTTCCTCTTCATTTTGGGCTTTTCCTTTGATTAGTCCCATCACAATAGCGAATTTATTTTTTTGACAAAAATGTAACTTTGGCAATTAATTAATTATTGTAACTGGTACTACCATCAAAACAACTTAATTCTGCAAAGATTTGTTGCTCTGATTATAGCTGAATATTAATTGCATTTCAACACTTTTACTTGGGAATTACTGTTTCTACGAATCGTGAATTACGTTTTGAAAAATTTGGTTTGCGGAATATCCGCAATTCGAAATTATACGATGGCCTCCTCACTCACCTGATCTAAACCCAATAGAAAATTTATGGGGCAATATAGTTCGCGAATGGCGAAAATTTAAACCCAACGTTCGCAAACGAAATTTAAAAGAATTGGTTTATAACTGCGGTTAGTTAGGAGGACCCAAATAATCATAATCGGTTTATAGACACAATATTTTAGTATTTTCTGTGTGTACATAAATTAATATTTCAACTATCTCCATGCAAAATCACTTTTAATCTTTCAAACCCCCAAAATAAATAAAGCATTATTTTCGAAATTTTTTTACTT